GGGATGCTATTTTCTAGGTGCAGACACCTGTGATGGTAGGTAAGGGGCTCTTTTTCAGAGACATGAGGGGCATAAAGTCTTTTTGCCCTGGGCAAATCTTCCACACAGATGGATTCGCAGCCTGGTTTGTGACTATGTTCTTAACTTGTGTTACACCCAAAATAAATTCTGAGGAGGACAGTGCTTGCTGAGCTCATCTTGCCATTTGATATAACGTGTCTGAGCAAGTTGTCTTTTTTTCAGTTCCTAAAAGGGCTGGTGAAGAATGAAACTTGATTCACATGGTAACAATAGCCACTTAGATCTTTACAAAGCAAAGAGCAACTTTGTACAAAAGTGCAAGGGCAAGCGCAGTCCCAGGGAACCTCAGATTAATTAGGCTTTAATTGATTCACTTTCAGACCCCTCAAAGAAGCAGGGGGCGCTTCAGTTGAGGTTCTCTTTGAGACTACAAAGCCAGAGCAGATGGAAATACAGGAGAGGGCTTGGGGAGCCAGCCTCTGGCTACCTGGAAGAATAGGGGAGGAGAAGCCTGGGAGATGTCCTATCTCTGGGAATTTTGAGTTTGTTCTGTCCAGTCCCACTGTGGTCAAGATGGAGATTTGCTTCCTGAATTACCAGTCCTCTAAATGCCCTGGGGGGCATGACAGTGTTCTACGTCTAGACTTGGGAATGGTTGCCTGCACCTGAGTCAGGGTCGTGTGGAGCTGAGGTATATTTTTAGTAAGGCCCAGGAGAGCATCCTTCTGTTGTTAATAGGGATGGGATCAGAGGGGACCACAGGAAATAGGAGGGGCAGGCTTGACAGATCAAGAACTGAATGCCTGTTAAGTTAACCTTTCAGATACACAATGAATACCTTTTTAGTGTAAGTATGCTGCAAGTATTGTACTTACACTAAAGAAAAATGTGTTGTATATCTGAAACTTAAACTCATTTATTTAACTGAACATCCTGCCTTTTTATTTCTTAAATCCTAAACTCTGGGAGGAGAGCAACCAGCATCTAGCAAAGGAAGGACAATTGGGTGCAAGCAGGGTGCCCTGAGCCCTGTGGGGAGCTAGCAATAGATTCTGCTTGCTCGATCAGCTCGCCATCACCCTTTCTCCCCTTCCCTAGCCCTTGGAGATTTCCAGCTACTGTGCAGGCTGTGCACCTGCTCTGGACTCGAAATTTGCTAATATGAAGAAGTTATTGTTAATTATGTCATGTGATAGTGGCATTTTGGTGGGGTTTTTTTTAAAGGTGGTTTTGCCTTTTGGAGATGTACAGTAAAATATTTATAGGTCAAATATTTGATACTAGCTTTAAAGTAATATGAGAGGGAAATGCATATTGTCCAGGAATAGTCAGATCAGGACTGCATGGTATGGGCAGCAGAGGGAGGGATGGGCTGCAAAGGGACAAAGAAAATTTGGAGGCTAGAAATGTTTGGTATTTTGATTATGGTGGTGGTTTCAAGAGTGTATGCATCTGTGAAATCTCACCAAGTTGCACACTAAAATGAATGCAGATTGTTATACATATATTTCACCTTAATAAAGACAAAACCTCAATAAAAGTTTTCCTCAATGGCATACTAGTTGAAAAACTATGGGAAGGGGAGCAGGTGGGAGCTGGCCGTGGGTTCCTGCCAGCCTTGGGGCTTACACATCAGGGTCATCACTCTCAGAACTGTGTATGTTTAAAATTCTCCACCATAAAAAGCTTTTCAAAACATAAGGAAAAAGAAGAAAAGTCCAAATTAGATGTTTGGGAATTTCTCAATAGAGGAGAGTTGCTTAAAAAAAAATTGAAATTAGCTTTGAATCAGATAACAGTGAATCACTGGAGAAGGACAGAGGTGGTAGCTGACACTGTGGTGGCAGTCATTTTGCAATTTGTAAATGCATCAAATCAGCATATCACATACCTTAAACTTACACAACGTTATGTGTCAATTATACCTCAACCAAGCTGGGGGTGAGAGTGGGAAAGCTCACCATGCCGTGAAAAGACACAGAAATACCATAAATGCATATTGCTAAAAGAAAGCAGTCAGTCTGGAGAGGCTACACACTATATGATTTGAATTTTATGGCATTCTAGAAAAGGCAAAACTATAAAGGCAGGGACAAAGATCAGGAGTACGGGGAGGGAGGAAAATAACAAATATGCAGACCACAAGGGATTTTTAGGGCAGTAAAACTATTGCCTGATACTGTATATGATGCTATTCATTTGTTGAAATCCATAGAACTGTACAGTACAAAGAGTGAGGCTTTAGCTAATAATTATGTGGTAATATTGATTCATTATTTGTAACAAATATAATATGCTAATGTAAGACACTAACAATGGGGGAAACTATGTAGGGAGATGTGAATGGGAACTCTGGACTTTCTGCTCAATTTTTCTGTAAACCTAAAACTGCTCTGAAAAATGAGGTCTGGAAAAAAAAAAGAAAGCCTGCTAATTTAAAAAAAAAGATAAGGAAAACAGAAACAAATCCAAATTAGATGGTGGGAATTTTTCTTTTTTTCTAAAAGATATTTTAAAATTTATTTATGCATACAACTGGGGTGTAGGACAGAGTTGTGGGGAGAAGAGGATTCACCAGAGACAGAGTGGGGAGCAGAATAGGCAGATCTACCAAAATACACTGCTGAGGGGAGCAGCGGGCAAGACAGGAGAGGTCAGCTGTGCCACATGTGGGTTAGCTCCTTGGCAATGAACTCAGGCTGTAGTAATAGCAGCAGTGATAGCACTGAGACTTAACCCCTTTTCTACCAAGATGTTGGGGAATTTTTCAATAAGGAAGAGTTAAAAAAAAACACACTGACATTTGGTTGAGATAATTATGGGTCCCTATAAGAAAATTACTACCACCTAGAAGGATTTTACATTCAGATTTCCTCTGCCTTCAAGTTCTTATTGCACACTAATGACAAAAATGAAAATCCTCAAGACAGACAAAGCATGCAACCATGCCCTTCACACTCTCTTTGTTTAGCCCAGGGGCAGTTGTGCGTGAAGCCATCCCACAGGTGCAGTCTTTGTTCTCTGGTTCCATGGGAGGGTGTGTGACTCATATTCACAAAGGTTGTGGTGTGCAGGGAGCTCCTCTGGAAATTTGATGAGGGGAAACTTTGAAATTAATAAGCCATACTTACAAACACTACTTATACACTTGGGGATTGGCTCTGTGGAGGCTGGTATACAGAGCAGTTAGAAGACCTCGCGCCTCCCCCACCACACCCCAACACACACACACACACACAAGGGGTGACCTAGGTTTTATTGCTTCTTAACGGTTGGGAAGCAACTTCCTGCCAAGTGTCAGGAGGACTCTCCCAGTTCCTGGCTCTGGCTGGATGTGAAAGTGAAAGGTTCTCACTGAACTGGCAGGCTCAGGGGGAACCTCGCTACCTGCCAGGAGGAAAAACAGGTCCCGCCTAACTCGAGTGTGCTCCCAAGTGGCTGTGGACCAGCAGTGGACCCTGCAGGGAGAGGCAGGAAGTGTAAGCCAAAGTAAAAGTATCAGTAATTGGAGAAGTCCGGGATACAGAATCCTGGACTGTTACTGTCATTAGTGCACCGGATGGGCCGGCTTTACAAGGGCAACCAGGAGTTCAGAATAAGTAATTACTATAACGAATATTCCCTCAACTTAGTCCGTACCAGGCACTGGGCTACAGGTTTGTGTGAAATACCTTATTTAATCTTCACAACAGTCATTATAGGCAGACTCTTTGTGTCTCTATTTTATAGACAAAGAGATAGAGGCACTTGTAACTTTTCTAGGTTACAAAATTACTGTGTGGCAGAGATGAGATCTGAGTCTGATCTGCTGGACTGGAGAGCCTCTCCTTTTAAACATCACACTAGTGAGGAGAAGGGTGAAAACATGGTGGGGGGAGTGTGTTCCTTACATGTTTACAGTGACTTTTAGTCATTAAAACTTGATGATAGTCAGAGATGATATTGATAAAGAAAGAACCAAAATGGGGGTGGGGCAAACAGTTGTGAGACCTCTCTTGCCTGGAGAAAGCTTTTCAAGTTTGGAAGTGGTCTCTGTACCTCCAGTGCCCAGCAGAAAGATGAGCATTTTTTTGCCTTCACTTACCTTGGCTTTCCTTCTTTTGATATTGGGTGTTGTTCGGCTCTCTCTGTCTGTCTCTCTCTCAAACCTCTCCCTACCCCACCATTTACAAACATCCATACATATCCATGACACAGAGGAACGCTCAGTTACACTTACATTTGTTTCTGTATATCTTTTGTCCGCCAGTTGTCTACTATCTGTGGATCTATCCACACTTCTAAAAGATTATTAGAAGAGTCAACAATGCTAATCAGAAGGCTTATCAAAAACTTGAGCTTTGACAGCAGAGAAAACTGGGATCCTATCCACTATACCACTTATTAACACTATGGCATAATTTTAAGGTACTTAACCTCTCTGAGACTTTATTTCTTGATTATAAAATGGGAAACAATGATACCTACTTTGCAGAGTCACTGAAATGATTAAATGACACAATGAATCATTTAACAAAGTGCACGGCACGTAATAGTACCTACCATATGCAGAGAATTTATTTTCAGTAATAATAAACATATAGCAGGAAATTTGAAGTCATGAAAATCCATTCATAATTTTGCAGATTAAAAAGGTAAATTGTCAAATGTATTTACAACATGCTCCCATTTTTATTAAAACACACACAGACAGGCACATGCACAACTGGAAGGATATACATGAAAGTTTAGACATGATGGTATGGCTAGAATTAGGATGATTTTTGCTTGATTACATTTTACTTTGCTCATCTGCAGTTGGCTGTATATCATTTCACTTATCTATAATTCCTGCAGTTTATATAATACATAGTAACTACTTCTGTAATAATAAGAAAATCTATCAAGGAAAAGGATTAGTGAATCATTTTTCCAAGACAAAAATCTCACTGACTAGAGAGGCCCCTGGACATCAGCGCCCGGAGCGGTGTGCCCCTTACCTGAATGTGGGCACAGCTTTCCACCAAATTCTTCTCTTTGCAGCTACTCTGAAGGATCTGTGACAATAGAAAGGAACAGTGGTATGAACCTCAAGGAAATCTTCTAAACTATTAGTGAGTTAACTGAGAATGCTGCCATCTACAATCCTTGGTTTTTGTATTTTTGGACCAGCAGATGCACTGTGCTAACAGTTGGAATGAGCCTGTGCCTCACAGTGTAAAGTTGTTGGTAGATGGGAAAGCAGACTTGAGGGATGGGGAGGGTCTGATTCAGTTACTATGTACATAGTCTATACATATGCATACTATAGACATAGTAACAGCACACAAAACCAATTATTTTCATGGGGTCTGATTCAGCAGATCAATAATTTGAATAATTAATATGTGACTTCCTTAACTACACAGTCACATGAGTTCACATTGACCAAAGGTCTTCAGGTAATGTGGCCTGAGTGAGGAAGATTGTACAAACTTAAATATCCACTTCCCACCAGGAGTCTGGTGGGTGGAAGAAAGGAATAAGGATCATTTCTTAAGCTGGTAAAAGTGTTTTCAGAATTCTGAGTTCATCGGTGGAGTTGCTGGTAACCCATACTTTGTTTAGTATATACTTTGGGGATTTTCATTTAAGTTACACACCCTGAGACCCATTGGTAAGTCAACAACTGTCTAGGTGAATTGATGGAGAGAACTGGTATGCTGGGACTTGGCAAGCTGATGTCACTGCATATTGGACTCCTGAAGCCACTGAAGCTCCACAGGTGGCAGCTAGGTCTTTACCCAACATTTGCTGGGCCCAGGCAAGAATATAGAGAAATGTGCTATGTCTAAATAATTAAAACTTAAAATAAACTAACAAATGTTTGGATAAAATACATTCCAACTCACTCCTTTAACAAATATAGCTTCATTACACAAAACCAATTATTTTTATGACATAATCACAAAACATCTGCAAGACTGTGACTTTTATATGACTGAAAGACAGTAAAATATTCATTAGCAAAAATAACTGAATGTGGGGCCTCCCCAGAGGCAGAGCGGGTTGAGCACAGCGCTATAAAGCTGTCTGCAGCCTCTGCAGCATGGGTTTGATTCCCAGCCGGCCAGGGAGATTCCCACATGGTGCAGCAGACCTCTCCTGTAGCATCCATTGCTTCCCTCAGCAGTGCTTTCGGTCTGTCTGACTGTTCTGCTCCCCATTCTGTCTCTGGGGAATCCTCTCACCCTCCAGAGCCTCTGGCCTGAACCCCAGCTATTGTATAAATAAAAAATAAATCTTTAAAAAAACATAACTGAATGTAATTATTATTGCAGATGTAAAAGCCATGACTGTTAATTTCAAATTCCATGATTTTTTTTCCTGCTGGTGGTCCATCCCTCCACCCATCCATCCAACCACACACCCACCCACTCATTATGCATTATTTTCCAGGACTTTTGACATATATGAGTTTTATAATAGTTAAATAAAGTGAATTATAATACTTTTGCTCATATTTTTTGATATAATCTAAGTAAACTGAATCACTAGATAAGATTTACTTCTAAGTATGTTGTGCATGATTTCTTATTTTAAAACATTAAAGATCTCATTCTGTTTTCTCCATTCTACTTGGTGCTCATTTGATGCATTCTTCAATGTATATTACATATTGAACATTTTTGTATCACATTTTGAAATCATACATATGAAACCTAGAAAATTTCCATTGTTTTCTGTGAATATTGAGCTGCCATTGCCACAAAATTATTATTATACTTGATTAAATATTAGACACTAATATTTTATAAGAACATCACATGTCACATATGGACATCATTTGTCTCTGTTGAATACAGTTTTTTTGTTTTGCAGTTTATTCGGTCTTTAAAAAAAGCAATTCCAGTAGTTGTATATGCATATTTTGTGTGCGAGTAATGTTTCACTTTAGTCAAGAACCTAAGTGTTTCCAGACACAAACACTTTCAATGGTCAAACTTGATCTTGGGGATCAGTTGTAAAACTGTCACAGTGATAACAAAATACTTGGTTTTTGGACATAGGACACAAAAACATACATAAGCCATTTTTATAATTTATTTCTCCATCTAAGATAATTTTGCTATAAAATTAAATACTAAATTTTCTGTCATGTTCATCCAATGGAAAATTGTAATCATTAATTTGAACTGGATTGCATTTTGCTAGGAACATATTTACACTGTCAGAATGATGTGACAGTCATTTTTCAGGATCACTATCTAATAAGCATAGTAAAGCTCCAGAGGTTTTTGATTTTCACATCCAATTTCAGCTTTTATAAATGCAATTTTCCTCCTATGCTAAAGGACAGGCCAGAATTGCATTTGGCTTTCTGAGTTACGACTTTGTTACGAATAATTCTTTCGTTGTTCTTACTGTCTTAAACAATTATTAAGTCTTCATTTAGTGAAGCATATTAAATTGAAGGATTTCATTTAATCTTTTCAAATAGTGGTTCTGAAGATTTTTTTGTTCATTTTCATGTTCTTATTATTGAAGCTTTTATTAAATAAGTAATTTGTGACATCCTGTCTGCAAATTTATGTGGCTCATGATCAGCAGAAGTCTGCTAATTTTCAGATTTTAAAAATTTAAGCAGACTTTTTGCAAACCACTTGCTATTTCCTTTTTCTTCAGTCTTTTTCTCCTCTGAGTTCCATTTTTATATTTTCTATTTCTATATTATCTTAATTCATTTTTAAAATTATTTGAATAAAGCTGAAATTTATATTTAAAGTTCTGGGAAATTTATATTTTATTAAAATTACAGAATTCATAATTTTAGTATTGTGTTTCTAGTAGCCATCATATTGGTCCATCTAGTTGCTAATTGATACGATGTTTCATGAATGTTGCATCTAGAATTACATATCCAGATTTAAGAGTAATATGATTAGTTAATGTTAAAAAAAAATCCTTATCTGTCACTTACAACTGTTGTGAATCCCAGACCACTGGGAAATGGTGCCTTGTTATTCATGAGTCTGTTGCAAACATGCTATCAGAGAGGGAGAATTTGACAAGTGAATTGATGTGTTGTTTTTTTTTTTTTCCTTAAGTGTTTCCTTCTTGCACTCTGAAGCAGTCATTAGCCCTAGCAGCAGCACAACTTACAAATCTGGCCATTTGGTCTCAGTCCCTTTTTGTTTAAAGGACATAGAGTTAGAAATGTAAAAATGCAATTTTCTTGGAGCCCAAACAATGTTAAATCACAAGAACAAAGGTTTCGGGCTTCTTGGGAGTGTTGTGTCAGCACATAGTGCCAAATCCTAACTGACGGGCATCTTATTGTATTCTTATTATACCTGTCTGTTGGGTTTGTGACAAGTGGGGTTCTTCAAACCTCACCGTCCAGGCCCCTTTTGTCTGCGTTAAGTGCACTGGTGGCCATTTTGGGTCATGTCTTAGAAACTATAAAGAGACCTATGGAGAGTAGGATCTCCGGCAGACCAGAAACTAGGAGAAATGAGCCATTTCAGATAAGATTTGGCAGAGAAGACACAGACAGATTTACCATGAGGCTAGTGAAGTTTATGCTTCAAGGTCCTTATTTATAAGCACAGATTTGCCAAGAATCATGCCTAATTTTATAGTCTTTTTTCTTAAAGATGGTCCCCAATCCATAAAACTTAACAAGAAATTAAGGCAGGATACCAGGATCCAAACCAGGCAGGTGCAGGGGAGTTCTAGAAAGATTGCTCCCAGCGTAGTCCTGAGGTACCCAGTGGTGATCAGAGGCAACTGAGCAATTGATTGGGCAGCAGAAGGTCTGGGTCAACCCAGTCAGTTTTCACAGTGATGTCAGTTTCATTCAAGTCTCTAGAGCAATGCTGGTCAACAGAAATACAATGCAAGCTGAAGTATAATTTTTAATTCTTCAATAGCTACATTTAGACAAGTAAAAATAAACACATTAGGGCCTCCCCGGTGGCTCAGCGGTTGAACGCTGGGTTGCGATGCTGCCCACAGCCTCTGAGGCGCCGGTTGGATCCCTGGCTGCTCCCCGGCCACTGGAGGAGGGTCCCACATGGCGCGCAGACCTCTCCTGATGCCCGCTGCTCCCCTCAGCAGTGTACTTCGGTCCTTCTGCCTGCTCTGCTCCCTGCTCTGGCTCTGGTGAATTCTCTCACCCTCCCGTGCTTCTGACTGTACCCAGTGCTTGTATAAATAAATAAATAAATCTTTAAAATAAATAAATAAATAAATAAACACATTAAAGTAATATTGTAATATATTTTTTGTAATCCAATGTACCCAAACTATTAGTAAAGTTATTAAAATCTGATATGTGTTTTCCACTGGTCCAGCCCTCAATTCAGAGTACCCACATTTCAATTGCTCCACGGCTTACAGGTGGCTAGTGTTGGGCAGCACAGCTCCAGATAATCCCTCTGTCTCTACCTACCAGTCAGTGCTACTGGGTGCTGCATTAGTTTCCTATTGTTGCCATAATAAATCACCCCAGACTTAGTGGCATAAGACAACAGAGATTTTTCTCTTACTGTTCTGGAGGTCAGAAGTCCAAAATGGGTCTAATGGGTTAAAATTAAAATGTTGATCAGGCTGCCTTCTCTCTGAAGAGAGTGTTTTCTAGCCTTATGGCCCATATCACTTTGACCTCTGCTTCCATAGCCACCTCTTCTCTGACTCTGACTCTCCTGCAATCCTCTTATTAGGGCCCTTGTGATTACAATGGGACATATAGATAATCCAGCATCATCTTCCCATCTCAAAATCTTAATTTAATGGCATCTGCCAAGTCCCCTTTACCATGTAAGGAAAGCATATTCACACATTTGGCAGTTTAAGATGTGGACATCTTTGGGGGGCATTACTTAGCCTATCACAGGTGCTTAGAAGAGACTGAGACTTTAGAGAAAGATGTTAGGACCTCTAGCCAAAGCAGGTTCAGGGTAAGAAGGAATGACTCCATCTTGTCCAGGGTGAGAGCAAGGAAATTCCATAGGAATAAAACGAGTGGAAACAGAAGGTGTTGAATCTTAAGGCGGAAACCTGGCTTAAGGTCTTC